GAGGATCAGGATTTCGAATCACGGCGGCCAGTAGAGAATCGGAAGCACTTGGAGAGTGTTGAGAGAGCTAAGCCGGGCTTTCCGGAGGACGCGAAGACTTCTCATCCATGGCTATATCTGTTTGAACAGGCAGCGATATCGGTTGGGCATCGGAAATAGCAGGCAGAACAGGACAAGAACAGAATGAATGTCTTTGTTTTGATAATGTCTATACATGTAAGTATCAACGTCAACATAGTATATACATTGTACACGGAATGTATAGAGAGATAAAATTATAGATAAACAAACGAAGAAAAAATAATAACCGAGACATTAAAATAAACTCCAGTGATTGTTGATATTCACATACTGAGAACTATGTTATGATTATAGCTTTGCCGCTATGTGGAAATGTCGTTTATATTTTATCATTCATTTCCTTATTTACATATGGAATCCTTTATTTCGAAGATATCAAATGTACTTTGATCAGAAAACAATATAACCGTTTAGTATATATCAAAAGCAGTCCGTCTTAATGACTCATCGATACATGTACACCTGTACAGCGATAGGCCTTGGAAAATCTATAAGATGACACAACTATTTATTTTATGCCAGAGGCATACATTTGGAGAATTTTTCATGATATTGCTATTATTTCACATTTAAGTTGTCAAAATAATCGTTTTGTTTAAAATTTAGTACATTATCAGTGAAATTAAACTGTAATTACAATATCAGTGAAATCAAACTGTAATTTACATTATCAGTGAAATTAAACTGTAATTTACATTATCAGTGAAATTAAACTGTAATTACATTATCAGTGAAATTAAACTGTAATTTACATTATCAGTGAAACTAAACTGTAATTTACATTATCAGTGAAATTAAACTGTAATTTACATTATCAGTGAAATTAAAGTGTAATTACATTATCAGTAAAATTAAACTGTAATTTACATTATCAGTGAAATTAAACAGTAATTTACATTTCCCGTGAAATTAAACTGTAATTACATTATCAGTGAAATTAAACTGTAATTTACATTATCAGTGAAATCAAACTGTAATTTACATTATCAGTGAAATTAAACTGTAATTTACATTATCAGTGAAATTAAACTGGAATTACATTATCAGTGAAATTAAACTGTAATTTACATTATCAGTGAAATTAAACTGGTAATTTACATTATCAGTGAAACTGAACTGTAATTTACATTATCAGTGAAATTAAACTGTAATTTACATTATCAGTGAAACTAAATTGTAATTTACATTATCAGTGAAATTAAACTGTAATTTACATTATCAGTGAAATTAAACTGTAATTTACATTATCAGTTGTAAAAACTGTAATTTACATTATTGTAATTTACATTATCAGTGAAATTAAACTGTAATTTACATTATCAGTGAAATTAAACTGTAATTATATTATCAGTGAAATTAAACTGTAATTTACATTATCAGTGAAACTAAACTGTAATTTACATTATCAGTGAAATTAAACTGTAATTTACATTATCAGTTAAGTAAAAACTGTAATTTACATTATCAATGTAGTAGTTCCCTGCCACGACAGAAGTATAATATTTGTTCCCTGTCATGTCATATGTAAGATCTTTGTTCCCTGTCATGTCAAATGTATGATCTTTGTTCCCTGTCATGACAGATGTATGATCTTTGTTCCCTGCTATGACAGATGTATGATCTTTGTTCCTTGCTATGACAGATGTATGATCTTTGTTCCCTGCTATGACAGATGTATGACCTTTGTTCCTTGCTATGACAGATGTATGATATGTGTTCCCTGCTACGACAGATGTTTGATGTTTATTCCCTGTCATGACAGATGTATGACCTTTGTTCCCTGCTATGACAGATGTATGATCTTTGTTCCCTGCTATGACAGATGTATGATCTTTGTTCCCTGCTATGACAGATGTATGATCTTTGTTCCCTGCTATGACAGATGTATGATCTTTGTTCCCTGTCATGACAGATGTATGACCTTTGTTAGATGTATGATCTTTGTTCCCTGTCATGACAGATGTATGTTCTTTGTTCCCTGTCATGACAGATGTATGATGTTTGTTCCCTGTCATGACAGATGTATGACCTTTGTTCCCCGCTATGACAGATGTATGATCATTGTTCCCTGCTATGACAGATGTATGACCTTTGTTCCCTGTCATGACAGATGTATGATCTTTGTTCTCTGCTATGACAGACGTATGACCATTGTTCCCTGCTATGACAGACGTATGATCTTTGTTGCCTGCTATGACAGACGTATGACCTTTGTTCCCTGCTATGACAGATGTATGATCTTTGTTCCTTGTCATGTCAGATGTATGATCTTTGTTCCCTGCTATGACAGATGTATGACCATTGTTCCCTGCTATGCCAGGAGTATCTTTTATGTGATATGGACCCGTTGGTACCGACGGGAATTGTAACGTGCAGGTTGTTTCGTATCGTTTTCAATAAATCAATTGATATACATCCCATCGACAACAGCGTTATGAAATTGTAATCCAATTTTTTAAAATATATGTGTATATAACCAAATTTATATCTTAAAATCAATATTTTCAAATTCAACATAAAAAACTTACGTTATAAAAGTATTTTATACATACTAAAGGAACTCTCCCCTGTCCTTCACCTCTCACGTATCTCGCGATCGATATACTAACTCTTTACGTGTATATATACACGTCCTCTTCCTACTTGTATTTACTATTCTAAGGTCCGATTTCTGGCGGTCGAATGTCATGCAAATAACTAGAAGAAAAATCGAAATAATCTTGGTGTATATAAACAGCCATTGGGACAGATCGAAACAGGTAATCACCAGAACTGTGTTTTCATATTTCGTCGTTTTTAAGCCTAACATGTTTTGTTTATATTGCAATAGTAACAAAGAATTAACTTTATTTTTGTGTGTTATTGAAACATAATACAAACAACAGAAACATTTTATTTTATTCAGAGAACACTCCGGTTTTGTTTTATGGTTCAATAGCATGAACTTATTTACAACCATCCTTATAACTCAATAATAGACTGCGATATTTTTGACAATAATAATGGATATTTTTCTTTGGTTATTTCTTACATTCGTCAATTTTGCCAATCAAGCCAACTTTCTACAAGAGTTGTCTTTCCTTAACTCTCACAATACACCTCTGTAAACGGCTTACGGACGACCAATACTTGACCTCGCGGTCAGAGTCAAAGTTCGACGTCATGCAAACTATAAGGCGTCCCTGACAACACCAACGGATGTCAGCGATCAGCGTAACAAAGTACCACTTGCCTTTTTGAGATGTTATGTGCTGATATCGTAATCAAATACACATCAGTTATCACTGATATCAATTTATGAACATGTATCTAGGAAGCTGAAAACTGTAAACAAGACGGTTTGTGAATGTCTACTAAAATTTAATCTTCCGCGATATAATCCATCACGTTTATAACTAAACGAACAGATGAAGTCAATTTCCACAAAAACAAACGCTAAGCCTCAAAATAATAATACCAATAATAATACAGAAAAATAATGAATTACTTTATTGTTTGACACAAAGAATCTCAAATGGCGTGAGCTGTTTACAGAGGTGTTATTGGGGTACCGCAATGCACTCTGGGAGAGAATTCAATCAAACATGAATTAGATGGGTTTACGTGAATGAACTGGCAAATGAAAATGCTTATTTCATAGAGGATTAGATTATCATAATGTTTATACGATCCATTGTAAACATGCTCAGTATCCAGAACTGTTATACAATAACCAGAATTGATAAAAGGAACCGTCGTAGATGTTATTCCATCATCCCCTTCATTTGGGGGGACAGTTAGCATTTTGCAGCTTACCTTTAAATATCTATCTGCAAAACATTATGCTCAAAAATGAACAGCTGCAGAACGGTTCCCATTGCCACCCCTCATCCATAACCAGTGTTTCTATCTAACAGCTTAGAGAATATTTGAATGAGTTAAAGCGGCTATTACCTTAGATTACAACATCGGAAAATGGAGAATTCGGCTTATGAATAATAAAGATATCCATAATAAAGCGTTACACGCGCATATAACGTCATATTTGTTGTTTTTGTACATATTTTCGGCGTCGGAACATTGTTTATCTTGACTATTGCTCACGCTCGGTTTATTACGAAGAAAGCCGAATGAGTCACATGGCTTGTCACGTGACGAAGCATTTACATCCGCTGCAAAGAAAAAATGGATTACGAGGTAAACAAACGCACATGTCTTATGTATGACACTCGTGTTTGCGCCTTTCTGCTAATTCTTGTTTGCAGTAAATGATTATATATTGTTATAATATATAATTTTTAACAATCAATCATAGTAATCCGTTTTGTTTTGACTTTGTCGTGAATTACCTATGTCAATCGCTGGCGCTAAACTAGTGGGCCCCAAAGGGGGTAATTACAATCGGAAAAGAAAAAAACTCATTGTGCAGGAATGCACAGGAATTGATACTCTGTCTGTGCACATTAATATGTATTGTTTACCATTTAACATGTGTCTATGTGTTTATTATGAAGGTTATGCTTATCACCACGGTCGTTATTCTCACAGTAACACCAGGTATGAATTAGATCAGGACCGCAAGGTTTACATTCTATATTTTTTAGATATCAATAAAAATGGTTGCAGTGACTTTTAATTTTAGTAATAAACAGAAAGTCTATTGGAAAATAGAACGTTTTATATCTTTTTCTCGTAGAGTTTTTTAACATTACAGTCGCTTTAAGTACATTAATGTAGTTGTAAGATTTGAGATTTATTTTAACTTTACAAAACAATAATGAATTTCGTAATGATTATTCCAATTGTAAAATTATTATGCGAGATAGAGGGCAATATTTCATGCAATTTACATAATTAGAATAAAAATAGATATTTTTTCCTTTCCAGTTCCGTGAAAACCACCGGGATATATAATTATCATGATGATGAACTGCCACGACATGCGACGGAGTCTGATCCCGACAGGAGGATTTAGGCGTATGATACTTCTTGTACTGGTCCTTCTTACTTGCTTAATTGGCTACTACCAGGAATTTAACGTGAAAATTCGTGACGTTACTAAGTATGCAAATCCTAAAATTATATCAACTGGGAACAACAAGCCTGAGTTTGTACTTGGAATGTTAACACCACATATGAATACTAAGTACAGAGATGGACAACGGTCAACATGGATATCTACTATACAACAATTAGATTCAGAGCTCCCCTTTAGAATAACCTACAAGTTTCTTATCGATCGACCAACAAATGATACCATACTGGAAAACAAAAAGTACAACGATATTGTTTTTCTGAATGCAACAAGTGAAGGAAGAGGGGTGAAATTCGGAGAGAAACTGTTTTTGTGGTTTAAGTACATATATGAAAACTTTCCAGATGCTGTACTCGGAGCCAAAGTAGATGATGACACATTTTTATGTGTTCCGCAAATTTTTACTAGACTAGATGCTCTCAAATCATCAACATTGTATTATGGATGGTCACATGGTTCTGGCAACAAAGTAGATACAAGAACACGTATAGATGAAATGTTCGTTGTTTTAGGACAAAATTTGATAAAAAGAATTGCAAAGCGTAAATATTGCACAGGACCCAAATGCGACCCCAAAATAGATTTAATTGATACTAACTATGGCGGTACGTCTTTAGGGTCTTGGCTATCTATATATAATGATATAGATTATCGACGTGATAACGATAGAATCCTTCATAGGGGCCGTGGTAAGGAAGCACAGATACTGAAATACATCAAGCCGGATTTCTGTTCTAAATTTGTTCTCAATCATAAATCCTCGGTGGAAATCATGAAAAAACTTCATGAATACAACAAACACCAAGTGACAATTTTGCCACATGGTAAATTTATTGGTGCCGTGACCGGGTCGCTGTTTTCGGGGGATGTTGTAAGGAAACTTTTGCCGCATCCGTCATTTAAGCGATACAGATCTTTAGCAACCTTGGACAAGATGCCATCGTGTAGTAAATGGGCTGTTGTCTTTACCATTTCCCCTCCTTCAAAAGCTGTGAAAAACATGACATCACTGTCAGACTGGTGTTTAGTGATAGTGGCCGACACAAGCACGCCACCAGAGAGTACATATGTTACAAAACTTGAGTCGGCTGCAAAAAGGGTCAAATATCTTTCGGTGGAAGAACAAAGCTTCCTATACCCTTTATTATCGGATATCATACCATTTAACCACTTCGGGCGAAAGAATATCGGGTATATGTATGCCATCCATCACAAGGCGAAGTTTATCTGGGATTTTGATGATGATAATGATGGAACGGTTGATTTAGACGATTTTAAAACAGATGTTCATTTTCCTTACGTCACAATTTGCAAAGGTGAACAGGACACACTTGTTAACCCATATCCTTATTTCGGAGTGGCAGAAACCTACACCTGGCCTAGAGGTTTCCCACTACAGGACATAAAGAACAAAACAACAATACCTAAACTATGTAACTCAACTGATGCCGTTAACCTCGGAATAATACAATCGTTAGCAAATGATCAACCGGACATAGATGCTGTTTATAGGATGACGCGCGACGCTCCTTTCAATTTTCAGGCAACAAGAAAATCCCATCGGCCGTTTGTTTTACCAGGAAATTCATTTGCCCCAGTCAATTCACAGGCAACATTGTGGTTAGGCCCTGCATTTCCTTATTTAGCACTACCAATCAGTATAAATGGGCGTGTCAGTGACATTTGGAGGGGATACATAGCACAGTATTTTCTTCACAGAAAAGACATTCGCTTAGCATTTTCTCCACCTTACGTGATTCAGGACAGAAACGTTCATAATGTTTTAAGAGATTTCAACGCTGAATTATCTTTGTACCAGAAAAGTAAACAATTAGTGAGTTTTCTTTCGTCGGAGAAAGCAAACAGTAGACCAAACATTGTGCAAATGTATGAAAAATTGTATACGAGAAACTATTTAGAAAAGCTAGATGTTCAATTCGCTGAGGCATGGGTCAAGACGTTAAATAGCATCAGCAAATCACGCTAGATAATCGTGTGAATTCCGTTGTTGTTTAAAGGAAACAAGTGCAATACTTCATCACCTATCATTGTGCTGGCACACGAATACACACCCTAATAACACCATCACGCACATCACCACACACACACTCACCATCAAACATCCACCCTCACACATCCTCACACACACCCTCCCTCAACCAGCATACACACGCGCAAACACTAACCATGACACACACACCCATCCTCACACACCCACACATTCTCTTCTACCCACACACCTTCACACACCCACCACTACCGGATTACCTAGCAAAGTGAGGTACTCTTTCTTGACTGCTTTTTTCATATGCGTTGAGAGGACTCCAAGTTAGATAAGAAGGATACATTTGATTTTTCACCCAGTTATCCAACTATAAGTATTTGTATCACCGCAGATGACTTCAGCTTTAACAATCAGACACTTTACATGCTTTGATAGGTAAATTTGCGTATCGTTTAAAAATGACCTCGGTTTGTATGTTTATAACTGGTGGTTATCAATGAACCGTTACTTCAACGGAAACAATTAGACACCTACATTGTTTCCTTTAAATTGTAATATATTGACAAAGCTTAAAAATAAACATTAATTTAATAACAATGAAGACATCAATTACATTATTTTCATTACATTTATGTAACGCCAGATTTATAATCAAACAACGAATTAAAAGACAAAGATATTCTGGAATGCCAGTAAAACCGATAAGCTGCCTTGTTAGTATTCTATTTAATGCTGAATCAGTAGAATAGATGAGAAAAATGTAGCTCACATGTACATATATATCCACATAAAATACATTGCTTCATTTGAATTATGACAATACTGATATATATGATATATAAAATATGTATTAAGAAATAAAAATAACTATATGTTGTATTGGAACATGTAAATGTTAACACTAAATCAATTAAATATATTTAAATATATATTGAATTTATTTCTTCTTATTTCTTTTATAATTCAAAGAAGGAACAAATCTTTTTTAAAAAGCTAGTTTTTCTATGAAATGTACGTTTATAAGCAACTTATCTTTTTAGTTATAGTTTAATATAGTTTATGTATACAAAAATATTCATGGTAGATTTTTACAGACTGAACGGCTTGGAATAACTCCTCATCTCAGCTTACATGTTATATATAAAAGAACTTCAACAGTATGCTAAAGTATCAGTTTCACAATCAACATGGCAGGAGTTATGCTACATGTAGACAAAATACTGATATTCACTACTGACGAGAACCTAGTACATCTATGCTCTGCCGAGATCGTCTACTGCGATGGAACCTTTTATACAGCTCCACAAATGTTTGACAGTATCTTCACCATCCATGCTTTTGTTGGTACTGTCATGTTTCCGCTTGCGCATTCATTACTGCTGAAGAGAGATACTAACACCTACAACAGATTATTCACGCTTCTGAAAGGCATTGCCATTAGATCCAACCTGAACTTCTCACCGAGCACAGTTAGCCTTGATTTCGAATGTGCTTCCCGTAATGCCGTCACTCAGACATTTCCAGCAGCAGAACTCAATGGATACTTATTCCACTGCACAAAAGCCATCTAGAAAAAGACGCAAGAATATGGACTTGAGATTGACTGCAAGAACCTTTCCCAAGTCCAAAAACCGTGCAGTAGCTTTGCCACTTATTCCACTACACCAAGTTGAAGATTACTGGCTACATACCCTAGAAGATGCCCACAGAGAGAAGACTGCCTGAAACTCACAGATTACGTCACAGAGACACGGATTGAAGGGTGATATCCACAACCAACATGGAACCACTTTCTAACCGAAGGACCCAGAACCAATAACCACTTAGAAGGATTGCACAATAAACTAAAGAAGAGAGTAAAGATAGCACATCCCAATATCTACAAGATCATCGAGGAGTTCTGAAACTCAGTGACTAGTTATACAGTGTTGTGACATTTATAGTGCTTAATTTGAATCATGTTAGGACTGTTTCTTATATGTAACAAAATGAGTTGTTTAATGGTAACTTTGGAATGGTGTGTATCGCAGAGAGCAGCGTCTTAGTTTAAAGTACATCAGGTCAAAAGTCAGTCAATGCTTGACCGAGGTAAAAATCCCGTGAGTGATAGGTAGTGATGCACGCCTGATAACGGGCGGGGTGTGTACCCCATTGTTGAAGCACCGTGGCAGAATATCGCAGTATGATTGATCAGGACAGATAGATGCTCTCATTTGTATGTCTCGCGCTCTCGAACATATAGGTAAGTAAACAAGATAAGCTATGTACAAGGTAGATCAAAAGGGTGTGGAATTGATAACAGGTACTCCTAGACGCACGTGTCCTTTTAATTATATGCACAACGGGCGTGATGATAGGAAAGTTGTAAAACTTAAGTATAGGGGATATTAGGGATTGCGAGAGAGTCGGAGGGAGAGTTGACGCCGGGACACTGAGCAGAGAGGAGAGCGGGGCAATGTATGGGCCCGAGTTAGAGAGCGGGAGAAACATCTAGGATGGTTATGTACTATGACTTTTAACAAACAATGAACAACCAGTCTAGTGTTATCAAATGCATTTGTGTGGTCACTATACGCTACTATGTTACATATATCATATTGAAGCAGAGAACCTTTTGAACATTAGTACTTGATTTAAATGATTGATATGATAAGATTTATAGTGCTTAACTGTAATATTTTGTTGCATGAAATGTATACTTGTCTATATCAATTTATATTATTTATCTATAATGTTTATTATCTTTGTATTGATGACATTGCAAGAAGAATACTAGTATATAGCTAAATAAACACTAGATTAATTACTTGACTTCCTTAATTTGTATATACAATGTTCCTACCTGGTTTTGGCACTAAGGCCAAATGGGAATAATTTTTTACCATGAAATTGACAGCTAAGGCGAAATGGGAGTTAGCCGTATGACAACACTGAACCAGACAAGCGAGGTACATAAAACATAACTCACTTCAGCGACATTTCATTAACACACATGTAGTGTTGCCATACCAGATTGAATAATCATAACTGCAGGATAAATACAGCAATAGTAACTAGTTCAGAGAAGTATTTAAAAACAAAATGGGATTATAATAGCAAGATTAATGTTACCATGTTGTTTATAGAATTCCGAGCAAATATACCCTTCCGGTAACTTATGAAGTTAAAAGTGTAGCTGTTACATGAAAATTAATGACTCTGTGTCCAGGAGATAGCTTATGATATTAAGTATTTCCATTGCAACAACTTATATCTTCAAAAGTTTTAGATTTGCTTGAAACAAAGCATTATTAAGTATGCAACTAACAAGACAATTCTGTGAACTATATAGTTCCTGCCGGATTCTAATCGAACAGACAGCCACAAACCCATGCTGGCCTTCATACTTCCGCTTTTATTAACAACCAATCCCATAATACATTGGTACCTACTACCTAATACAAAACATCTATAAACATGACGGAGTAATCTCCCTTACTATAATACTGATACACAGACACTACACCCCTTACCTGGGCTTACATTTCTCCTGGTCAGACTTAAGACCATAAAATCAGTTACTACAAAAAGAACATTATCAAATAAAAACAATCACACATATATTCAGTTGTTTATTTTTATTTTCAACCTCAGAATGAGAAAACTGTGAAACTGAAAAAAGGACATAGTTATTCAGATCCTCCATTCTGATAACAATGTTGTAGGAAGTGCAATATTTAATTAAGCATCACACAAGAAACTTGAAAAGAATTATTCAAACATAATGGAAAGTGTCACAGATCTTAAATCTAGCACATTGCACATGATCTCAATGTAACTGATTAGTGATATACATACTAACAAAGTTCCACAATCCTAGCTTAGAAGAGGAGTTATGTTCCGGACACAAAATGTTAACAAAGGGGAATAACTCTGTAAATAAGGGGCGTTTGCCCTTAAATCTAGTATGCAACACGTCACATTAATGTAACAGAGGTATAGGCACCAAGTTTTACAGTGACAGCTCAAATGTGAGCAGTTAATCAATATACTGTGTATACGATTGGATTGGCAAAAGAATGGATCCCCCAACAGAATATATACAGATAATAAAACTCAGCTGAAATGACGAAAAGGTATTGAGAAACCATTGAATGTTGGAACGATTAGGCACATAGATAAAAAAAACCTATCAACACTACTCTACACACAGCATTAATAATTTTAACTGTCAAAACCGCAATGTAAATCTGTCAACCTTTTTGCTTTTCAGATCAGTCTAAAACAAGATATGCTTGTGAAACATAATGCCCCTGAGGGAAATAAGACTCTTTTCTATATGGGTATGTAGGATAGGGATATTCCACCCTCGGCAAAAAACCCTCGGCTAGGGTTTTTACCACATTTTGTGATCCCGAGGGTGGAATATCCCTATCCTACATACCCATATAGAAAAGAGTTTTTTTCTCTCATTTCTAATCTCATATTATCAAATATTTGCACTCACCTCGCGGTAGCCATCACTGGACGCCGCCATTTTTCACATCTCTATTTTTTTCCTTGGGCCATATACATAAAAAAAAATGCTGAAGTAGATTCTCCATCCCCGAGTTTTGCAAACTATGTATGCAGTCGAAAATATAATATGGACTGAATGTAAACATCCAACGTCAGTGTTTAACTCTCAAGCGGGCTGGGTCAAATACCCTTTTCTTTTTAATATTTACTATTGCTCAATGTATAATATATCATAAACACATTTAACATCTTTGAACATGTTGGTCAAGTTATTAATTCTACTTTCAATAGTAATCTTACAAATCTGACACATTTATGAATGGAATTCTTGGTTTGCTTGTGAGATGACGTCACTTACGTCACACATTTCGCGCCACACCGACAGGAGGAAAGTTAGTCACTGTCACTTTCAATCATACGTGGACGACGGCGGAAAGGCTGAGTCCCAGGGTTGGTGATGTTGATATTTATAGAACAGTTTTGTA